GATTTGGAAGCCATAAGGACAGAACCTGAAAGCAGTGTTGACCTCATGAAACAAATGTCACTGAATCATATTTCACGTTATCCTTTCATAAGTTGTATTAAATAAGCTTCTGTCATTTGGGCAATGTGTTAACTTATTTATGTAGGCATTATAAAAACTCTGAATGTTAAAAACATGTTACTCTAACTTAGAATAAGTTAACAAAAGTAAAACACTCTCTCAGATTTATCTTTCCAGCCACTGCTGTATGATCGGTTCAACCAAAGATTTGTTTCTCTGTTTTATTTAGGTAGTTTTCAGAGAAATAAAGGTGTCCAGTTATTCACATGAAAAAATCTAAGGCTAAAGACTAAGTCTGGGAAGCCTTATAACAACTGCTTTAGAGGATGACTAAGAGCATGTTCTGTGTGTACATTTACTGCAGAAGACGTCTTACTGTCATCATCTTCCCTCTAGCCACCCTGCATGTTGTACTCCTGTTCCAGGGTCAGTGGCTGTGAGACGGTCAGATGCTGCAGCTCAGGACACTTCATCCATTCATGATACCCGAAGAGTGTAAACAAATTGAAACAAAACCAAGTGTCTGCTGAAATCTGAAGTTTCAAACACCACTGGTGCTTCAGAGGGCATTTCACAGTTTTTTTTTTTTTTTTTTTTAGCTATACTTGACATTAGTGTAATAAGAAGAGAGGGAGGATCCTTAAAAAATATATTATTGGCTTAAAATACATTAATATTCAGTGATATTTTATATCTAGGCTTTTCAGGCAGTGTATCTATTACTGTCACATACTGCACTTTAACATCTACTTTAAATGAAGAAATTAGAAAAAAGTACTACAGACTCAATGATAACACACTCTTCCTGGACTTTTATTGCAACAAGAGAAATGATCAGATGTCGCTGTGCTTCGGCCCCACCCTTTAAGAGGCTGCCATGTTTTACAAGCCACTAAATGTCATGCTAGCTGTTTTGTTTGACACTCCAAAGCTCTGAATCTTTTCTTGCCACAAACAGAAAGAAAAGCACCAAGATATCATCCACCCTTCTCTCTAGGTGATACTGAAACGACTCACACCTAATAAAAAAATTCATGCAGCATTGTGAGGATTCCCATTTTTATCAAAGGAAACAGTGATGACCATTCAGTTTGTATTTTGTGTCAATATATGTATGTTCTATGTTGTGTACAGGCTGTGAAAACAAACCTCTCCTTGGGGACAATAAAGCCTTAACTCATCACTGTAACATACACTGAAGTAAGATGCTTTGTAGAGGTTTAGCATGAACAGAAACAGAACTGTCTCCCTTCAGTATGATTACTGCATCATATACCAAAACATTAATGAAAGCAGCAAACAAGCAACAAGTGATCAACATTAACATAAGAGTGAAAAATAGTTTTTTTAATTTACCAATAAAACTTGAGCTCAGGTAATAGTCATATTCCTTATGATACTGTGTTAATAGTGCATGTAAAAAGCTGTATGAAGGAATTTTAAGACTGGCAATAATGATATATCAGAATGGTCTGATTATCTAATCACTGTATAAAAATGGAAACACTCTCCCAACAAAAGTTCTCTTAACTCAGAGCCTCTATAAATCTGTATGAACACACATTAAATCACACTATCCCCAAGATGCTGTTTCCACATCTTTGGTACATCAGTCTAACTATGACACTTCAGAAGTGATTATGTTTGGCTCTTGAATGCTCTACGTCTCCAACAGCATCTACAGAATAATTTTGGCTGAATAGGAGAGAAACAGGCTCATCTTAGCCAGTTTTCCTTCGATTGACCCTCAAGTGGAATCCTTTATACACATTTTGTAGTGAAATGATTTTGTGCAGTCTTGAGTGTTTTAAAAGAGTCAGATCAATAGGATGCTGCCTCTGCCGCTGACACACCCAGCTCCTCCAAGCAGTGCTGCAAGTTGTTACTCCTGCTGGGATTTTCTCTGAGCCTCTTCTTTATGAGAACAGCCGCGTCTTCGATGACCGATGGCCCCTTAATGGACGCGGTGCAGAATGTCTGGAGAAGTTCCAGGTTGGTATTAAGTGCCATCCCAAACAGGAAACGTAGAAAAAGGTCCAGCTTGCCATCTTCACAGAGCAGGCTTCTGTCCACAGCACTTTTGTATAGCTCCATGGCTTTGTGCGGCTTGAATATGCCCCTGACCTTGGCTTTCAGGTGCTGCTGCTCAAAAATGTTCTTCCCCAGGTTTCTAAATGAGAGAAACACATAAAGGGCAGCGAGGTACTCCTGCATGGTGGGGTGGATAAAGCTCAAAACTTTCTCCTGAAACAAGACATATGGCTTTGTGATGTACTGTGTGCACAGGCCACTGTTAATCACTGCTTCCGTGTCGTCGATTCCAGTGTCTTTCCAGTCGGTCTTGGTGATTTTGAACTGGCCTTGTTCCAGCATGTTGAAGGCCACCTTTCCAAGTTTCATGAGGAAGTCTCTTTCTTCATTTGGGGTATGACCTGGAGCTCTAAATACGCGATGCTGACGTATGAGCACTAGCAACAGCTTTGTGTACATGTAGGTGATGCTCCTGGGCAGCTCTGCCTGTGTTCCCTTTTCTCTAAATATGTGCTGGCACTCATCGGCAACCAGTGAGCAGAACAGGGGCAGGTGGCACATTATGCGGAGAGTTTTGAAAGAGTTGATATAAGCAATAACTCGGGTTGCTTGATCTGGGTTCTTAAATCTCTTTTTAAAGTACTCGTCCTTGTCAGGGTCACGGAAGCCAAGCACCTCTATCTCATTATAAGACATGTCCCAAGGAATGTAGCGCCTTACTTGCGGCCGAGTGGTGACCAGGAAGAGGCCGCGGTAAAGCAGCCTGTCTCTGAGGAGGTTGACCACGATTACGTTCAGGGTGGTGGGTCGTGTGTAGTCACCCAAAAGTTCAGTGGTGTTAAAGTCAAGGTTGTCATTGTACTCATCAAGACCATCAAACACAAACATTATCTTGCAGTCTTCACCTCTATAATCCTCCTCCCTGAGTTTCTTTGTTTCTGGGTACAGTTTTTGTATTATTTCAAGCAGGGAGACCTCGGAGCCTTCAAACTGTCTGAGTTCTCTGAATGGCAAAGGAATCAAAAAAGAGACATGTTCATGGGACCGCTGTTCACACCAGTCAAGGATCAACCTTCTGACTGCCATAGACTTCCCTGACCCTGGCACTCCAGTGAGCACTACCAACTTTGTGTTTGAGCGGTCCAGCCTTTTAGAGCTCAAAATATCGCTGGTAGAAAGCAGTTTCCCTGGTTTCCGGTTGCTGTCCAGTTTTACTATGGTCATGACCTCATGTTCAATATTTGGGCCACTATCACAATTTGTTGTAATGTTTAGATCTGTAAAAACCTCATCAAAGGGCTTCCTCTCTCCCTGCATGGCTACATCCTCATATACTTCACCATATATCCTCTTCAGAGTCTCACATAAATCATGACGCACTTCATCTGAAAAAGGAATGTGTATACTGTATAAAAACATATATATGTAAATACATCATTTGTCACTTTTGTTAAGACTGAATCAATGGTAATGCAACAATAAGACACACAAAAGTGTACTTACTTCTGATGCACAAAGTCTCAAGATAGTCGATCAACTTTTTCTGTCCCATCTCATCAAGAAGGACTTTGGTGACCTGCAAAGACACTTCAAGGCTGTAACACTCGAGCATCCGGTCCACCAGGTCCACCAGATCCAAGCCTTGGGGAGGAGTGTTGAATGACTGTGGGTAACGTTGCCACAGCATCATCTTGAATCTCTTAACATCCTTCTCTGACAACTTCTGCAGGATATTAGCAATAGCCTGATTCCAAAAGAAGGATGAAACTCAGTGCTGTTGGTGTTAGCTGGAAGGTGTTTACTGCATTTCTTTTAACACTGATAAAGACAAAAGGGGTACACAAACTGACCTTGAAAGTGAATTTCACTGTCAGAGAAGGATGCCTAATCGTATTGGGGTCTTGAATTAACTCTGGTGCATTAGGCAACTCTGAGACAGTGTCATCTTTACTTTTAACCCTGGTAAGCACATAGTGAAGAAATTTAAACATGTTAGTGACAGTCTAATCACATGCATTAACATATGTAGGCTAAGCGTCTTACTTGGGGGTTCTCTTTTCACAATCATCACTGTCCATAGAGTAGCAGCTAGAGTATGAATCTGTTCTGTCCAGCTGGACCCTAAAATCAAGGAAAAATGAGGACTTGTATTGTAATTAATGCAATAATGCATCATTACCGTTCTCTTTACATACAGAGAGTAACAACACTGTATTCTAAAGCACAGCTACTTGCTGGATTTAGTGTGATCAATGTATGTGTTTATAGTCTGATATAACCTTTGCAGAATCCTTTGTTTTGTTTGTACCTTGTGGAGACTCCATCATCATCATTCGTGGAGACTCCATCATCATCATTCATTGTGTTTGACCTCTCCTCACTTGCCATTGAGCTGTAGCTCAGAGCTGGCGTCAAGGCCTGGTCCACATAATGCCTGACCAAAAAAAGAAAGAGCTTGTTAGTTGCTCAGCAGTCACATAACAAGCGATCACAAGCTTCCATAGCACACACAGACATGTCAAGTCTAGGGCATCTGAACTGCGGACAGGGACTTTTGAAGGTTGATGAACAAACATAGTTTTTAACCTGTTCTGGGTCTTTATTTGTTTTCTGTCAGAACTGGCTATTTTTGTGAGGTACATGTTTCCAAGCTTTTCTATAGCTGAAAATTAACATGCAGCAACAGATACAGATCGTTAAAGAAATAACCCATAGCACTGGTACACAGACTGTTGAAAAAAAAAATAAATAA